GATTAGGGGAAAAATCTAGAATCTGGGTAAGATGCCGGTCACGATAGCAGAGATACAAGGGATCAGGAAGAATCTCTTATGGTGTAAGGAAGAGGGGCATCAGAAGGTGGAAATTGACAGTGATAGTGCTGAAGCGGTCAACCTCCTCACTAGAGAAAGTACTGATGGTCACCCATATTATGAAATTCTATCAGAAAGAAAGAAGCTTTTGCTTGAAGAGTGGGTGGTGTCCCTGAAGCATGTTTTTAGGGAAGCCATGAGACTGGCTGATTATCTGGCCAAGAGTGGCCTCAGGATTTCTTCGTAAAGTCTGATTGATGTACCTCCCAGCGACTGCCTTGCTATCCTTGAAGAGGAGTCGGGTGGGAGAGGATTTGACTCTTACTAGTTGCTGACCTTTCTTCCAAATCCAAATAAATAATCATGTAACATTCTCCACACAGATCAAAAGACCCTGCCGAAGCTTTCAAAGCAATATTTCCTGCTGGAAGGTGCTTGACTTGCTTACTTGTAAGAGAAGACTAAGGCTTGACTTGCTTACTTGTAAGACTAAGGAAGGCTAGAATCTGATTTCACAATCGCTTTCAAATGTGTCAAAGTACTCTCGTCTACCGATCTGGGATGGGACAAAAGAAAGCCCTATGTTTAACGATCTATTTCCTTCGACTTTAGCTACCCGTCCGATCACTTTCAGAGAATCTGTCCTGCTTGAGGAATAGGAACTGGATGTTGATATGCCCGGGCACACCAATGATTGATTGTGCTGCTCTCTTCTATTAGCGACTAAGAGAAAAAGGGCATACGGACCGTACTCGATTGATGAGCCAGCCCTCTACACTATGGATTGTTGGTCCCCCCGCCCTATAGAATGAATAAAGGGAAGGCTGTAGTGGAGTAACGGGGGATCCCTCTGATCCCGAAGCGAAAGGTTCCGCCTCTTCTTTGTTGGTACTTGATTCGAGCTTATATATCACATTTCGTTGTGGAGAAATCAAGGGTTTGACTCTCTAGCCCTGCAGCTCTTGAAGAGGAAAGCATATGACGTACTGTCGCCTCCCATTCTCTGATGACTCTCAAAGGAAAAAAGAGGTAAGCCCTATTAAAGGGGGTGCCCTCCCTCTCCTTACAGTCTTAAGTCGGTTCTTCATCAAGGAAAGAAAGCTAGCCGGGCAGATTCAATAGCTGCATTCGATGCCTACTCTTTATATATGTGATTTGCTTCCGCCTTAATAGCCTTGCCTTCCTCTTTCGTCCCCTTTATCATCACTAGGGTGATCGGGCAGTGATTCTGTAGTTTCTGGGGCCTTAGGAAGAGGAAGACTGGCCTCAGTTTCTTCAGCAGTTGCTTTGTTGTGAGAGGATCAACTACTACGATAGAGGCCGACTTTCTTTCTTCCGACCTCTTGCACTTACATCGGTATTCCTGATCCATCTATCTATGGATTCCTTCCGAAGTTCTCTTTTTCCTCCATCATGAGGCAGTTCTTGGGCTATAAAACTCCACTTTGGGTGGCGAACCACCCTCACGCCTCTCTTGACGGGGGTTTAACCATCCTTAGTCGGTGATGCTTTTCAGTTCGGGTGTCGTCACAAATTCGGAGTTTGCCAGTCTTGTTGTCAACTGGCAGCTGTTCTGAGAGTGTCTCTGAAGACTCAGAATCTGACAAAAGGCATGGTTATGGGAGCATGATTTTGGGGTGGGGAGAATTCCCTTCTCTGCAATAAGCAGGAAAGATCCTTCTGGAATTGGGATATTCTTTCTTCCTGGGATTTCCTCATATAGCCCCCTTCTTCTTTTGGTGAAACTGGGTGCTAGTCTTGATGATAATGGACTTGAAAATAGTCCAACCTCTCTATGGGAGTCCCCCCAGAAGGTCTTTGAGGTGGAAGGCTTTCTGACTCATCTGAAACTAATGTATCCATAATAACTGATCCAGTTGGTGGGCTATTTTCACTAAAATAGAAAATGAACTGAAGCAGCAGCCTCATGAGCTAGGTTTGAAGACGCTCGACTGAACAAGCAACGCCTTCTAACGTAATGGGTCGCTCAAGCAAAGCGAGAGGGCTTGAGACGCTAGTGCGCCCCTATCTATCTCTAAGTCCGTTGCTTGTTGCTTTCTAAAGCCTTTATTCGTAGCTGGAACAAGCAACGGATTAAGCGTTAGCGAAAGCCCCCACTTAGTTTAAGGCGTTAGTACGAACAAGCCCGCTACGAATAAAGGCGCCCGTTAGCGAAAGCCCCCACTTAGTTTAAGGCGTTAGTCACGAACAAGCAACGGAATTAGCGCCCGTTAGCGAAAGCCCCCACTTAGTTTAAGGCGTTAGTACGAACAAGCAACGGAATTAGCGCCCGTTAGCGAAAGCCCCCACTTAGTTTAAGGCGTTAGTCACGAACAAGCAACGGATGAGCGCCCGTTAGCGAAAGCCCCCACTTAGTTTAAGGCGTTAGTCACGCGCAGCCGTTTTCTTGCTGCTTTAGTTGGATTGCTGCTTTAGTTTTCTTGCTGCTTTAGTTGGATTGCTGCTTTAGTTGGATTGCTGCTTTAGTTTGATTGCGTAGTTTTCTTGCTGCTTTAGTTTGATTGCTGCAGGAGTTTGATTGCCCCGTTTTCTTGCTTGCTTGCTCGCCCCTATCGAATAAAGAAAGGAAAGGATGTGAAATAGCTTGCTATGAGATGAGGTACGCAGTCACTCGACCATGGGGGGAGGATAAGACACTCTCAGTGCTCCTGGAAGGCGAGATATGCCTTTCGAGGGATGTAGCGCATTGAAAGATGAAGTTTCACTGGTCACATACGACATTTCAAAAAGCCTTTTCATCGCTTTTTATTTTATCAACAACAGTGGTTTAGAAAGGCGAGGATAAGCAGGTATGGGAAGAGTTCATGGACCGGACTGTAACTGCCCCGCAGGGAAACCTAAAAGTCAAATCAAACTCTTATTTTATTCTTATAGCCTTTGTGCAAAATAACCCCACATTGCTTACTTCACTCTCCGTAGGGTAAAGCATTGGAACTGGGGGAAGCTCAGCCCAAAGGATGGAATGCCAGTTAGGGACAAGACGAAGATCAACACGAGTAGAGCGGGCGCTTCACCTTTTTAGATTTCTTTCGTCCTGGTATACCTTACCATAAAACTGACAAGGCCGGTCACAGGGTTAGGACAATCTCTCTCGTAAGTCACCCACTTGCTTGTAGCTGTGCGGACTAGCCGGCTCGCGACGGTCGCTATCCTTGTAGCACGCGCCACACCAACCCTAGGAGCAGCGCTTAACTTTCCCGGTTCCCCTAACAACACTAGGATCAGGTTTGAGATCTCCTAAGTACTTTCCCGTTATCAACCGGTAGGAATTTCCTCATTTTCATCGCCATTCGCCAAGGGAGTAGGCAAGGCAAGTAGGGCTTTCAAGGCAAAAGAAGAAGGTGTCAAGGACCGGGCACTTAGTACACACTCTTTCGTGCCTTGGTTCGCCATCATTTGGTTAAACAAGACCCCATGGAGTGATTGAAGTTGGAAACCCTTGTCGGTGGAACTAACGAAGCAAAGCGTGCTTGGTTATCCAACGTAAGGTACACTTATTCCTATAGAATATTATTAGTAGCAGGGCTAGTAGGAGTTCCTTCCTGTTCCTGTTCCTGTTATGACTATCATAATATCGCTTGTACCGCGCCAAAAACCTTCACGCAATACCACGCGCGATAGCACGGGTTGGTGGAGAAGGTATTAATTAAATATAGTAGTTTTCAATCGGGATGGTCTCTAGCCTGACAAGGAGAAACTGTGAAAAAGCCGTGTGCACGAGACAAGCATATGAGACCAAGCATAAGTACTCTTTCGGAATCAGCTTAGTCAAAGGTCAGGAGCTCAATCAAAAATCAAAACTATTTGATGCCTGCCTTAATTCCTTCCTGGCTGGTTAAACTCTTAGACGAAGAGGACTCGTCTTTCAAAGGGCTCTTTTTCACTGGGAAAGCTACCTACGGAAGTCTTCTCACTTGGAATAGAGCTCACCATCATTTGTTGAATAAAGACAGGTTCATTAAAATAAAGTACGAAGGCTATTCCGTGAGTTTACACGTAAGCAAGCAAATAACTTCTAGTTGTCTGTGCCCAAGGTCAGATTATCGACATCGGTATTGTAAAAATCGGGTAGCAAGCATCCTATTGGCCTCTCACCTATCATCCCCCTCCTGCTTAGACTAGTTAGACAGAGACTCGCTCTTCTCGTCCACCTTAGCAGAAGAATAGTAGTCTTCCTCATGTCGACCAGGAAGTCGGTTAACTAGTCATTGGTCTTTGGCACCAAAGCAAGCAAGAGATTGAAGCGGAGCATGGGAGACAGGAAGTATTGCGAAAGAAGGAAGAAGGGACGCCTCATTCCATTAAGCAAGAACCCCGAGCTAAGAGCAGGGCAGATGAAAAGTCGACAAATCGGGTCTAAAAGCAAAGGCCCGTACATATAAAGAAAGCATTTTAATTAAAAACCAATATACGATTTGATTTTTTCGCAGCCCCTAACTCAAGTTTTTGACTAATTCACATTGCCGGTTTTCAGCTCTAAGCAAGAAGAAGCAAACGTAGGGTGGTCATCAGTGACTGCAAGGGATGTGAGTGCGCTCTGATCTCCGACCTTCCTAGGAACCAAGCAAAGGATTGACTTCGCTAACCAGCCCTTATCAGCTTAACCGAAGTCTCTATTATAACAGAAGTGGAAAGGGCATACCTTGAATACAGATCAAGATTCACTCATTCACTCTGGCCTCTGGCACTAACTTAGGCTTAGGAAAGTACTTGCTTAAATGAAAAAAGTACCAAGCAAAAAAGAGCGGGAAGATCTCTATGAAAGAGAAAAGAATCGTACCTTGCTAGCCAATGAAAGAAAATATAAGAACTAACAAAGGCAAGGGAGGACGGAACCCCACTTCGACTCACCAAGGAGAAGGTAAGTACTTTTTTATCGTTTCTTCTGAAGTGATATAGATCAATGCCTAGACTGGGGG